ATGCCAGAGGTACATGTAGCTTTCTTAAGTTTTTAAAACCAGGTTCTAATGATTCACTTCTGAAATCACGTTCAGACGAAATTCACTGCTAAGGGATGTTCAGTCACAATTACGTGTATGTCAGGAAAACAATGACATCAAGAGACTTTTTAATTCAAATTGCAATACTTAAAAGGTTTTGTCGATTCCAGTGATGTTTGTGTACCGTGAAAGACGAGGGTACACTTTTTCTCAACGTGCATGTACATGTACATGTATAGCCGAACTTCTTTACTCACGCAATAGGAGCACTGATAAAATATTCTACTTTAACAAAGACATTTTTAGGTGCTGGTCCTTTGTCCTTCGTTGTTTTTATTCCTGATATACAAGGTTCTTGACAGAAGGCAATCTTCAAAGTAAGAATAGCCTGTTCTTTTATAACAAGGTTCGACAGTATCGTCGTTCCACTGCTGGCACACGAAGCAGCACAGGCAGGCGACTACAGGCACCTATACATATTACATGTACTGTACATGTACAGGTGTATCTAGTAGTTGCGAAACGGCAGAGCTGTGTTCAAATTGAGTTACACGGTTGGAGACAAGCCCTTTCGCGCGGCCAATCATCCCAGTCACACGTACTGTTCCTGTCTGCCATTTGAACCACTTAAAAAATTGAAAAACCTGACTCTACTCATGCTTTACACTACATGTCTTATCTCCATAATAGCAAAAAATAAGTTCTAGACTGGGTAACAAAATCCAAGATATAGCCCAAGTTTGGTGCCATGCCAAGTATATATTACCTGACCTTTCGGACCCCTCACCATGCTGACCCCTTACGACCATTCATTTGTAAAATAAATGCCACTCCACAGGTCTTATTTCCTCTTACAGAGCATTCTAATTAAGTTTAAAGTTCACGAAAGAGTTAGAATCGTCAGGTTCTACTTACCGAAGAAAGCTTTGCTGAACAGTAGTTTCTCGATCACACGATTCCTCAAGACTAGCCACCAATCCACAAATGTAACCTCACAATAGTCTGAACCGTCCCAGTATCTGCGCGTACATGCACACGTAGGCGGCCTCGTGAGTGTGTGTATATGTACATGTACATGTACATGTACACTGCATTGTTAGGTAAAATAAGAGATCAGTGGGTGAATGGTGTTCTGGCGGGCGTGGTATTCAACGAAGCTTTTGTTGTGCAAAATACCTCAACCATAGCAGAGAAAGTTTGCCGTCGGTGTTCAGTGTGAAAAGTTTACGGGGGCGATCCATTCATTCAACGCCCCCATACAAGACCTTGGGAGTTGCATAGGACCGTACAGAGGGTGTTTCACTCTGGACAGCGGAGTTCCTGACTCATAAATAGACAATGAAGTTTCACTCATTCGGGTAGAAGTCAGGTTGCTGAATAAATTATTGATTGAACCTTTTTACACACAGAGGGGTTAATTAAGGTGGAAAAACTTATAATTTCAAAAGAAGCAGGCGAACTGGACATGCTGGAGGGTTTGAATCATTCTGAAAGGCATTACGCAATCAGTTTTCCAGTCTTCGGAACATTGGACTTTTTAGACGGACACGGGGAATCCCTTGGTAGCAGACTTCCATACGGGACTTGCTAAGAAAATCCTCAACGGATGTGTCGAAGCGAGCGGCAGTGCCGTATTTTCCTCAAGTTGGGGGGGGTGCCAGAGTCAAGTTGCTGACTTGTAAACTTTCATAAAGATGAACAAGGAGATTCACTGAAGCGGTATTTGAACCTGCGTCCTCCGGAATACCATACCGGTGCTTTACCAACTGAGCTATCCAGCCCTATGTTGGTGGCTCTTCCCTTTCGTCAATATCTTTGTTCGGGGGGGGGCGATAGTAGTCAGAAGCCGTTAAACCTGACTTGTAAACTTGTTCGCCAACCAACTTCCGCACCGAAAGATCTGCGGGTGCAATACATTAATTTCATGTTTTAGGGGAAATGCCTATGGCCAACATTATATTCTTTACGTGCTAATTTGGATTCATTGGCCGATCGAAGCTCCATTTGCAGACTGGAATTGATTACTGGGGGTGCTGAACCCCAAGGCCCCCTCTGGTCGCTACTCCCCTGGCGATCGAGTGGCAGGGGCGCTCCCAGGAATTGTCGAAGGGGGGGGGTCGGATAAGAATCCACCTCAACACTAAGGAAAAGGATTTTTCAAAATAATATCTCACTAAGCTGAAACTGGGGTGAAGCCGGTTTTAAATTTAGTGTCTTTTGGAAACTTAAAGAGCAAAATCCATAGCATGCATGCAATGAAAAATATACAAACGAAAAAGAACCTTTTGTGTTCTGGTTTGGATCTAGGCTGATTTCATTCCCTCAGCATCTCATTCCCGTTAGGAAAACTGATAAAATGATGAGTCCCCACTCATCGGAAAACAAAGTGGTCCGTGGTGATATTTGAGTCTGTGTGGGGAGAGAGTGCCGGGAGTCGGTTGACTTCACCGAGCATTTAGTAGCGATCTTTCTTTTTCTCCAAGTCTAAATCCTATTTGATCCAAATCCACCTTTGCAACTCAAGACATTAGTCATCAAGTTCTTATTATTTTAGGAGGGTCTGCTAAAATAGGTTTTTTGTCGAATTTGGATCGAATTCAACACTTTTGCCGATTTTGGATGAACCAGGCCTGTCAGATTCTTATAGGATACGATTTTTCACTGGATTCCGGTCGTATCGATTGACTTTTGAAATCTTATTAGCGCCCCCGTCTGGCCAAGTGTAATTAGCTTCAGTTCTTCACTGGTTTCCGGTATCGTTGTACGTCTTCGCAACGATGCTGCTTTGTGAACCAGTCGTCTGGCTAAAGATCGCCATTTTAATTCCCGATACTTTGTGATATTGTTTACAAACAGAGCTTGAAAATACCCACAAAACCGGTCAAATTAAAGCAAAAGGCACCAAAATGGCGTCTCTTCCGCCAAAGAGGAAAGAGATTTACAAGTATGAGGCACCTTGGACGCTGTACAGTATGAATTGGAGCGTCAGACCTGATAAAAGGTTCCGGTTGGCTGTCGGCAGTTTTGTGGAAGAATACAACAACAAGGTTGGCTATAGTATATCATCTACTAATGTATGGTAGTATTTTACTTGAAGACATGTTGTTAAGTTAAGCTCGCTTAATCATAGTTACAGACCTAGCCCCAAGCTTACAAAGTAATAACGATGTTGAACTCATTCTGAATCGTATCAGATGTTCTACAGTAGAAAGTGACGGCCTTGCCATCGCTTATGCATGAATCTGCATCTGTCATGTCTGTGAGTGTGAGTGTGATCATTGTCCATGGCATCCATGATATCTGATTAATCTTGATTATTTTACTTGATGATGGTTGCAATCGGCATGTTTTGAGGGGATTTCCGTACATGGACATCTCATATTTCTTTCAAGGAATGAAATATCAATAATCAGAAATTGATTTAGGCCTAATTATCCTACAAGGTACAACAGTCTTGACAATGTGCAAGGTTAAATTTTGGAGGGAAAATATTGCATTTGAAGCATTTGCCTTCTTAGAAAGTACCTAGAAACTTTAGATAGTCACAAGGGGTTTTTGCACAGTGTGTTAACGTTGTCAAGTGATTTCCAGATATGGAAATCATTCTCCATTTGATATGGTTCCATTTTCTTTGTATTAGGCAGCACTTACAAATAACTAAAGCTTGCTTGTTATATCTACGTCTATATCTCATCCGTTTTGATAAAATTAGGTCCTTGAAGCGCACCATGATATCTTTGGCTGGCTTCATAGTGGTGAATTTAAGAATGATATTGAAAATTTATAATGTACCAATATCCATCAATATAGATGCCTCAAAGCGCAGTGAGTACACACATGCAATGAATCAGAACAAATATAAAGTTAGAAATAATTATGTCATTTGCAGGTGGTACTGGGATCAACCTTGTTGATCAGATGGTCATTTTCTAAGGATGACTATTTTATTTGAATTTTTAGTTCACTTTTAATGTAAATCACAGTCATCCACCATGGACGCGTGATACAAGAAAATTGTTTGGATTTACACACAATATGCATTCACGTGTAATACTTTGGTCCCACAGGTTCAGATTGTGTCACTGAATGAGGAGACGTCAGAGTTTGAGGCTAGGAGTACATTTGATCACCCGTACCCTACCACCAAGATTATGTGGATACCCGACAGTGTATGTACATGTATGACACACACCTTGCTATCATGCCGCCTCCACAGGGTTCGATTTACAAAAAAAGTGGCATGCACTGGTGCATATTGACCAAAAAACCTACATGCACTAGGAAAAACCTGCATGCACCAGGAAAAACCTACATGCACCAGGAAAACCTACATGGGCCATAATTTGGCAAATACCAGTAGCACATATTCCTGTATATAGCAATTTAAGGATAATAAGCCAAAGATAAGGTTAGGTATGTATGTGTATTATGAATCTGCTGCGAGGAATGGGAGACAGAAATAGTACGTTTGTACACTATCTGGTCAAGAATTCAACAAGCTTTATTCTTATTCTCACTTATTGGTAAATATATGCAGTAAATGAGTATGTTGGTGGTTAAAAAGTTACATGCAAGTCGTGCATGATCAGTAAAAAAGCTACGTGTACAAGCAAAAATCTACATGCGCTGGAGCATGCATGCACCGGGTAAATCGAGCCTTGTGCCTCCAGCATGATCTATCATAGCTAAGAATTCCTTGCTGTGATCTGAGTAGGGCTGCAGGTAGGCTGTAAACAATTAGACAACAAATGAAAGCTGATTGACTCAAGGAAGTTGAAGACCACAACAATATGAAAACTTCTATAACACCACCCATGAACTTTTGTAAGGATTTCTTCATGGGTTTATTTATACTTAGCACTGTGAGGTTGCTTGGGCCAGCTTCACAGTAATAGGTTGGGCTGAATTCCTGCCCTTTGGCTAATTATTTCATTCAAAAGTCAGAGTTCCAACATGCTCTGCGAATGACAAGTTTACAATCGCAGTATACCACACATCCTTATCATTTGTTTGATTAACCCTAACCCCTGTCAGGTTTTTTTCAGAGCACCCTACTTGATCCAACAGAATAGAATTTGAGAATCCTGCTGAACATGAAAGAATCCAATAGCGAGGGAGAAAAGGCCTTTTGCTGTGTTCACATCAACAAAATCCTACAGAAAGTGCCAAATGTGAAAAATGGTTGGATTAGTGTGGTTAGGGTTTTTATTGTGTGTTCTATACTGTGCTGTAAACAGAAAGGTGTATTTCAAGATCTGGTTGCTACTAGTGGTGATTACTTAAGGGTCTGGCGTGTGAGTGATACCGACACCAGACTGGAATGCCTCTTGAATAATGTGAGTAGAGAAAGACACCAGGGGCTAATTTCATAGCGTTGCTTAAGCGAAAATTTGTTAAAGCGTGAAGAAACCTTGCTCAACAAATCAGGTTACCAGCCAAAGTTTCTTGTGATGTATATTGTGTTGGAATGGTATTTATGGGTACCTGTCTTTTGGTTAGCATGACAATCACATAAAATTTGAGCTGGTAACCTCTGTTTATTAAGCACGGTTTGTTCGTGCTTAGGCAAATCCTGTGATTAAGCAGCTCTATGAAATTGGCCCCTGACTTCATCATGTAGATTACCTCTTGAGGGTCCATATGTTGGGATTTATGAATTTAGGGACCCTGTTCCTATAACAGAATAGCCTTTGATCAAGGTGCCCGCGGCGAAATGGATGGTCTCACAAGAGCGAGGAGCTGAAGGAGACTAGTTTAAGCACCAAACCAACACTAAGAAAGACTACACGACGAACCGCACGCACGCCCCGCAGGCCTTTGGAGTTCTGCCCCATGTAGCTTATATTTTTTCTTTACATTTGCTACCGTTTTGGTAGCAGATATGATATATGCACATGCGTAAGTCTCCACCAATCAAAACGATTGTCTCTGTCGAGCATGTAATAAATTATTCATCATTACAATGGTGCGCATATTCAACATGGCGTTCTTTCCGGCAGTGGTGTAAGTTCTAGATGACAGTCTCTTCCTGAATTGCCTCAAATATGCAGCACCGAAGCTTGGGCTTCTGATCGACAATTGAAACTGCAACAAATGTTGACATTGAAGGCTGCTCTGGAGGGTCAAGACATATTTGTCAATCTTCTAACTAGATATGGCAAAAGTTTCAAATACCATGCCGTTGTGCAACAACGTAAGCAGCCTAGACATGCTCGAACTGCTTAGCCCCCAAAACACGATTGGTTCAGAGAAATGTGAATAATTCATAACATTAGCATATCGAATAATTCAGATAAACCACTGAAAACAAAGCTCCAAAAGTGCTTGCGGCGGCGCGCATAGCCCATGACACACACAGCTAATCTGCATGCATGCATGGTTAATTTCGGGCTTGCATGCAGTTCATCATGTGGTCTTGACTATCCATTTCGCCGCGGCCGCCTTGATCAAAGGCTAATAAAACAGAAAGGAGACCTACATTTTAACTTTTGGATTCCCCTAGGTACACTGTAGATGACTGTGACATCATGCTCAATAACTGTATCGTTGATGTTATCAAAAAAGGGCGGGGTTTGAGTTTTCAGGGAAATTATGAGGGGAAACTGTGAGTGTTTTAACACAGGACACATGGTGCATTCAAATTTGCATGGCTGGTTTATCAGTTGGAAAGTCCCATTTTCTCACCATTTACAATTTGAAATTTCCAAAAAACAAGGTCAGGGCAGTTCAGACAGCTTTGCCTCTAGTTTTGGGGAATGAACGGTTATGAACAGATTAAAATGACAAAACCTTGGAGGTTCCCCTAATTCACAATTCCCATATGTTGTGCTTGTGTTACTCTATTGTTTTCCGTTAAAAGTATCCCATGCTCGTTTAGGTGTTGTTTTAGATTTTGTGTTAGGAATAGAGGAGAATGAGGAGTTATTTTGCTCAAGTTATTGTTTCATGCAAGTTTCGTTGAGTAATACCAAATGTGTTGTTTACTCAAAAACATTCATCCTTATTCTATGTATCAAATAGGCCTACATGTATATAAAAAACTCACCAGTTTGCTTTTTAACGGCTGTAGTTAACAGTCACTGTATCTTTTAGTGTGAAGAAAGTTACATGAAATCTAATTTTCTTGGTCCTTAGAATAAGAACTCCGACTTCTGTGCTCCGCTGACATCCTTTGATTGGAACGAGGTTGATCCAAACTTGCTTGGAACCTCAAGCATCGACACCACATGTACAATATGGGGCTTGGAGACAGGCCAAATGCTAGGCAGAGTCAATATGGTAACTGGTCACGTCAAAACACAACTCATCGCTCATGACAAAGAGGTATGACAATCAACAACACTCTTGCCCACAGTCTGAAGCCCCTTCCAAAAGAGGTATTTGCTGTCATGGGCAGTTAGGGCCTCCAAGTTTAAAGCTCACAGATGTTACTGGTGCAGGTATTATACAGATGAACAAAGAAATTGACTGGAGCGGGATTTGAACCTGCGACCTCCGGAATACCGTACTGGTGCTCTACCAACTGAGCTATCCAGCCCTATGTTGGTGGCTCTTCCCATTTGTCAATATCTTTGTTTGGGGGCGGAAGTCAGAAGTCATGTAACCTGAAACACCATATGGCCAGGGATCACGTCCCAATTACACGTAACAACCCGGGAAGTGGTGAACAGGGATCACTCGGACGGAATGCAGCTTTTTGAACACAACTCATGAGACAATCTATATAGGGAAACTGACCAGGTGCTTATGATGTATAATTATAGAGATGAACAAAAGAAATTGACTGGAGCAGGATTTGAACCTGCAACCTCCAGAATACTGCACCAGTGCTCTGGTGCAGAGCACTTTCTAGTATTGTGTACTAGCTCAAGGCAAACCACATCTCACCCTTAACTTAGTTAAATCCTGCAATTTGAATATGATCTCTACACACACCCTTAGCAGTTGGAGTTACAGAATATTCGGCTCAAAAGTTACAGAGTTTATTTTTTCCACAGAGGTCTTGAGAGAGCAGAACTTGGAAAGCCTGGCTGTTTTTCTGTTGTTGTCCTTCAATATATTTGCTACCCTTCTAGAATTATTGATGAAAATACAGTAGAGCCTCGTTAAGAAAAAAACTGTTATTACAAAACTGTTTACAACAGGGACATTTGTCCCAGCTCTTTGTTTTTCATTGTTTTAATTTCTGATAATACAAGATTATTGCCATAATGAAGTACATTTTGTAATTTCCAGAGTCTGAAGGACATCTTACTAACGAGGGTCGACTGTATATTTCTGTATCCTCAGGTTTATGACATCGCCTTCAGTCGAGCCGGAGGCGGGAGGGATATGTTTGCATCAGTTGGTGCTGATGGCTCGGTGAGAATGTTCGACTTGAGACATCTGGAACACTCAACGATCATATACGAAGATCCCCAGCACCATCCGTTACTTCGACTGGCCTGGAACAAACAAGACCCCAACTACCTTGCCACAATGGCCATGGATTCATTTGAGGTATGTCATTGGCTATATGCGACAATGCCAGAGGGCGCTATGGTAGTCCTGTGAGTGCAGTAGGATCACTTCTGAAATGATGTCTCAACATATTTCTTAGCTTAGCAAAAGTGAGCAGGAACCAGTCGCAAGTACATGTAGTATACTTTGGATGGCACCTTAACTGGTAAACTATTCTTGCTAAGGTTATAGCTAAGCTTATATGTCAATGCTAAAAAGCTTTGTGAAATGGATCCTAGAATTCTTTGGTATGTATTTTGTAGGTGATCATTCTTGATGTGAGGGTACCCTGCACACCGGTTGCCAGACTCAACAACCATAGAGCCTGTGTGAATGGCATAGCCTGGGCTCCACACTCCTCTTGCCACATCTGCACAGCAGGTGAATATAGCATTCCTCACAATGGTAACGGGTTGGGAGTTGTAATACGTAAGCACACAAGCCTACATTCACTAAGGATTCTCTGCTCACAGGCTTAGTGAAGACACTTTCTTTTCTTGTTTAGTTAGCACATAATAAGACTCATGAGTTGATAGTTGACAGTGATAGTTGATAGTGGATGGAGAGCTTTTATACTTGTTTCAGCGGCTACATTTTGAACTGGTAAAGATGTTTTGGGTTAAACCAGGCACGCTGCTTTTCCTTGGGACTTTGATTTCCTCATTTATTTTTCTTGTGTGTCAATGCAGATCCAAAAGTAGCATCGTTCCAAGTCTTGTGTTTTTTCACTTTGCTTCCCATTAACATGCCTGCTAAAGACAGATCAATCTTTTCTGGTATCACTTTGATGGCTGAAGTTGTACCTATGTCATACTCATCTTGATGCATCCTTCTGCTCAGACAATGAGTTCATGCACGTGACTTGACAAGATGTTTGGCAGCATCAACTGTGGCCATGAAGGCCTACTCCCAAGTGGCT